GTCATTCTCTTTGTGTGTTACGTTATTACCCTGAGGCCTCACGTGCCCATTTGTTGGGTTTTCTCTGCTTTGCATTATTTGTTTTGGTGATGGATTCTGTATCTGGGGCTTCTGCCTTGTTCGGGTCCTCCCCCTCAGGAACCTGGGAGCACATTTGTCTTGGCAGGTGGCTGATGGAGACTCTTGGCAGGGCGTGGGGTCCATGTCTGCTCCAGTAGCTCTAGGCCATGAATTGGGATCTCACTGACTAGGTACATTGTGGATCACTTAACTAGGGAGTTGCTTTGCAGGGTAGCTAAGGAGGTTGAGTTCTGAAAGTGCTCTACCACTACCTGGCCTGAATTGGGACCTCCCAGTCCAAGAGTATTGTCTGGCAGGCAGTTCGCTTCTCTTGCTGCTTTCATAATTCTTTGTGTCTTTTGTTGTTGTTAATTATAATTGTTCTTGCTGTGAACCTCTGTGAATCTCTGTCATGATTAGGGTATTATTATTTATTAAGTGTTTTTGATGTATTGATTCATGCCTTTCAACAATTGAAGTACAATTTATTTTTGTCTGTATTCTCCAGTAGTCTTTCTATCCTGTCCTCTCATTTTTCCTTTTAGGGATCCCACAGTGCATATTTTGGTAATCTTGATGGTATCATACAGGTCAATAATTCTGTTCAATTTTCTTTATTCTTATTTTCTTTCTTCTCCTCCTTAACTTTAATTTCTTCTCTTTATGTTCATAGATTCGGTCTTCTGCACATACAGATCTACTGTTAAAACCCTCTATCGAATTTTTCCAATTTATTGTTCTTTTTAGCTCCAGAATTTCTGCTTTACTCCTTCTAGTATTTACTGTTACTCTGTTTATTTTCAGATATTCTTTTGGTTACTCTGCCTCATTATTCATATTATTTTTTAACTTTTTGTTAATTTTGGCAATGCTAGTCTTTCTCTGGTAAGCCCGATGTCTTGGTTTCTTCAGAAAAAAATTCATTTATTCTGTGAATAGACAATACTTTCTTTTTTCATTAATGTAGGATAGCGTTTATTTTAATGAGATATTTTGAATATTACAATGTCAGTTAATTGAGTGGTTCCCCTTCAATTTTTTAAATCCATATTACTATAGTAGAATGTAATTAATGTTTTCTTAGTGACTTTTTAATATTGTGCAAAAATCTGTCTTCTTTGTAATGTGTAGTCAGTGAAGACCATATTTCTTTCATTTATGTTGCTAGTGTTTTGACAGATATTTTATTGAATTCCAGGAGCCCAATTTAAATCATTAAATAAACAGATATGTGGTCTGTGTGTGCATATGTGTTTGTACATGTATGGTGTGGAAAATACTCCACAACTTTGTACATTAACTGTGGTGGTAGACTGTCACTATACTTTAGCTTTCACTTTCTTCTTCCTCTGAGACCATAGATCCAGAGAAGAACATTTAGAATCTTCTCAGTCTTTCCAAGCATGTCTCCTGCCTTGACCATTTACATGGATTTCTAACTTTCTGTTATACACAGGCACTTTCCAATGACCTAATTTCCCAAAATATTTTTCTCCAGTTTTTATGTCTAGGCTTTCAGTGCTCTACTGTTTGTCTCAACTGTAATCTCAACTGTAATCACTGTATTCTTTTGCCCCAAGTCACTGTATTGTGTTCATTTGCTTATATGTAGGTCAAGAAGAGCCTGCCGCTTTTCTGTTGTAAGTTTGAGTTGGGCAAAACAAACCATATATTTTGCATAATCAGTCTTTTAGATAGCTACCAGAAGTTTGGAGAGAAAAGCACATTTCTTTGAGAATAAAGTATGGCTGCTTCTTTAGGAATGAAGGTCTAGAACTCCACATGGGGGGTGGGCAGTCCAAAGCAAGTCAATGTCACAGAGTTTGCCATTTTTTGAGTTTTCTCTTGAGTTAGTATTCACTTGGTTGCTACAAATCTTTGACTGCATACTAGATAGAATTCTGGGCAAATTTTCAAAGCTTGTATGTCTGTGAAGAATAAGCACTGATGGTAGAGTTAACATTTCTGTTTTCACTGAAGCCACTCCCATTTGGATCATTTTGATATTCTTTATCTTCTGAATACTTACTTTTTCTTATAAAATGATTTGAAAACTTTTAAAGTTTATTTATACTAATTCTGTTATCTCTGTTACTTCCAGATGTATTTCCATACCTTTCCATGACTTTTCTCTTGCTTACGGAACCCAGTGTGTTGTTCCTTGTATGTGAAGTGATGATCTATCTATTCTATGTGAACATCACTAATGTAACATTGTTGCACCTTTGGGTTAATAGTTTTGCTTGAATCAATGTTAAAATTTATTTTGTGAGACAATTTGGATATTATCAGTTGAGTCTTTTCAAATTTTGTCTTCTGTCTTTTTAGTTAAGCTCTAGGATTAGCTTTACTACAGAAAAATTTAAGCTTAACGTTGGTTCACAATGTTTCTGATTTCTCTAATGTGTGCATAAAGAAATCTCTTTTCTGACTAGTGGATTTGGAGCTTCTACCATACATCTGTCCTCTGAGAAGTTTTCACCCTACAGTTTCTTAGCTGCTATTATTTCCTTGGCTTTGCTAAGTTCCTCTGTGTACTTTGGTCTTCATCCAAACACTCACGATCTTAATGTTGAAGATTTATGCAACCTTTGTATATGTTTAACAACTCTTTTCTTGTGTGCTATGTACCAAAATTTCCAAAGCCTTCAATTCACCTCACCAAACTCTGACTGACATCTGTCTCCTGAACACAGCTAGATTACTTTCCCCAAACATGGTCCCAAAGTGCCATGAGATCGAAATGCTGGTGGTATAAGGCTCACCTCATTTGTGTCTCCTCTTTCAGAAATCATAGAGCTGGGCTTCCTTTTCTTCAAAGTCTTAATATAAATTTAAAAATACATATTTTACCTATTTTTTTTAGTTATTTATGGTGAGCATGAACTCTAATCTCAGCTTTTTCTCATAGGCATTGTGGAAATTCTTCATTAACATTTTAAAATATTTTTCTGAAGCTGTTTGGAGTTGATTTAATTTTAAAATATAAGTCACTAGTTCTTAAACTTCACATAATTTCAATTTTATTGAGCTATTAATGACATTTTTATTGTTTTGTTTCGTTCTTCTAGAAAGTATACATAATCAATTTTTATATATCATGTATAGAAACAAACAGATATTCTCAGGATACTGTAAATTTTAAAAACACAGAAATTAAATCAGAATTTTATTAATTATAAAATTTACAATAATACAGTGGTGGTTATAATCCTGGGATTCTCATTTCATATCAGGTGTAACTTGAAATTCCATAAATTTAACTTGGTTTACAGAAAGAGAACATCTAACTTGCAAACGTTCCTAAATTTTTGGTAGAATGATGTCCCCAAATCAATATGTAATCCTTCAATAAAGTTCTATTCTTTCGCTTAGAAATGAAAATGGAAATCCCAAACAATCATAAACTTTTCTGTTCCTAATGCTGTCATGCATGAAAACTAATATCATTAATTGAAAAGTATTTCATCAGACTTACTAATGTTGTTAGTGTTTCCAGTTGGCCAATATATTTTCTTCCCTTATCAGTCACTTCAATACATGTATTAAACAGATACACACATCTATATATTTGCTTATTAATTTATATAGATAAGAGTTTATATAGAAAATATTTTGCCAATATAAATAGTCTAAAAAACTCCGCTTTTTAAACATACCCATGTCTTCTGGTAAAGTCATACTCCTGACATCATCTGGAATGTGCCTTCCTCTCGAACCACCTTTGATCCCTCTTCCTACTGTTTCATGAGGTTTTAGTCATACTGCCTGTTTCTTCACTATGCCAAGTTTGTTGCATCCTTTGTTATCTGTACCTACTTTCTGCTTGATCCTTTTTACCTAAATACACTTTTCTCTTCAGTTAGGTTTCATTAAAGGTCTCTTCAAGAAGATCTACCAGGTTCCCCTCAAGCCACTGACAGAATTTGCCTCACTTCCTTAATGCAATATTTATATCTAATTATCATGCTTGTTAATGATAATTAACAATTATCATTATCATGCTTGTAAATGATTTCTGTAATATATGCCACTCACTCACACACCACATGTAATTAGAAACCTTGCCCATCATATACACATGATATTTCAGCATGTAAAGGAGCACCCAGCACATTGTCCATCATAATCATATGACAATAAATGAATTAATTGACACATACTATTCTGCATGTGTTGCATTATCTTCCATTCTGTATAAGAGTTTTTTTGGACACTAAAGTTTTTCTTCTTGTTTAATTCAAAATGGATGAGGAGGATATTAAAAACATAGTGCCTATGTCCTGGATTAAATACCAACTCAAAGAATTACACAGAAAGCTTAAATACTGCCCATAATTTTTGGGGTACAGAAAAAGTGATGAATTTTAGGTAAGATTGTATAAATATGGTGTATTCATCCTGATAGTCTTAGACAAATCCTCTTATCACCAGGCCAAAACTGGGGCAATATTAACTTAGCCTTTTGCTGGAGCTTCCTCACTGATTTCACATCTGATATCATTAACCTTTAATAAGCCCTTAAAAACACAATGAAAAAGTTCTTTTATTTTAAACTGTGGTTGTGATATTTGCCACAACTGTTTAGTATTTCCTATGCTAATGTCCATTAGAAAAATATTCCATTAAAGTAAAATAAATAAGAGAAAATACCTTTTTTTATCAAAGAATTTGGTGTTTTTATCTGATGTGACAGGTGTAGATATCATGATTTCATTTTTTATTGGCCTAGTTCAAAAAACTAAACATAAATATTATGTGTGCATGTATCGTTAATCTCTATATAAAATTTCATATATTAAGTATTATAGCTGTATAAAACTTTATCAATAACTACCATCTATTTTCACCTTATTTATATTATTTTTAAATGGTCAGGATATATACACAACACATATATATCACTATGATGCATAAGTTATTCTTAAAAATCATATTATTTATGAAGATGTGCTTCTCTTTAAGAGTTTTATCACAGCGTTTTGGACTTCCTTATTTCTCAGACTATAAATCAGTGGGTTCAGCATGGGAATCACCATGGTGTAAAATACAGATGTCACTTTCTCCTGGATGGCTGAACTGCTGGAAGCAGGTTTGAGATATGTGGACATGAGAGATCCATAGAAAATAAGAACAGCCACAGGTACTGAAAGTCTTGGACCTGCCCTCTTTAGACTGGATGCGGAGGATGCTAGAGAGGATGAAAGCATATGAAGTGATGATTGTCACAGCTGGGGTTACCATGTTAAATCCACCAACAATGTAAAGCAGAAGTTCATCTACGTAGGTGCTGGAACATGACAGTTTAATAAGTGGCATGATGTCACAGAAATAATGTTTGATGACTTTGGATCTACAGAAATCCAAACTTAACAAACAACCCTCAAAAATCATGGTATAGAAAAAGCATACTGAGAAGACACCAGCCACCAGCAGAGAACAGACCCGAGGGGACATGATGACATTGTAGAGCAGGGGGCTGCAGATGGCAACATAGCGATCATAGGCCATTACTGCCAACATGTAGCACTCAGAAACAGCAAACATACAGAAAAAAAAAACTGAGTCATGCAACCAGAATAAGAGATAGCTTTATCTCTGCTTAAAATGCCTGCCAGAGTTTTTGGGATAATAACAGTAGAATAGCAGAAATCTATAAAAGACAAACTGCTGAGGAAATAGTACATGGGCATGTGAAGTTGAGGACTCAGCTCAATTATGGAGATCATGCCGAGATTCCCCGCCACTGTAACTATATAAATCCCCAAGAAGAGGAAGAAAAGAGGCAGCTGAAGCTCTGGTCGGTCAGTTAATCCCGAGAGAAGAAACTCGGTGACTGTGGACTGATTTCTTATACCCATTCTCCTGTGGAAATCTGTGGAGGTCAAAGAGGAAAGAGTCCAGTTAGACAGGCAGAGACCCAGCTCAGCTCCCTTTCCAAAATTCTGGTTCTACTTTCCCTTTACCCCTGTTCTGTCCCTCCAGTGAGGACAGATACTCAACCTCCTGAAAGTCAGCAGTCAGATTCAACAGAAAGATTCTGGCTACCTGTAGATTAGGAACCATGCATAAACTTTGATAACCAGGCCTGCTTTTTCAATTGTTTTAGCAAAGTATGAAACTTTTATCTCCAGTGTTAGAAAGCAGAGTACTGCTAAAGACCTTGAAGGGAGGCTTAACAAAGGGAACCAGCTGAGGAACGGCAAAAAAAAGGGCTGTAGACTGAGAAAATACCTCTGCTGAGGACATACTTGCCTATGTGCCGCCTGATTGCAGTATTTCGACAGAAAGTCTACCTCTTGCTAAGGCTTATCGTGATTTCTAGGTAAGATTTCCAAGTGTGTTCAGCAGGGTTTTAATTCTGGGGCTGTAATAATCAGTGTACATTAAGTAAGTATCCTGGGATCCTATATGTTAGACTGCATCCAATGCTAAATAAACAAGATTCTTAACTGGAATGTATTTCAGAACCACCAGCCAACTATAGATCACATAGTTAGAAAAAAATGCCTTGTAGCATTATATTTCTTAGTGCTGTTGAGAAAACAGCTTGCATACTGAATATCTGTAATTTAATCTAATTCTAAACCTGGTCAGAAGCTCATTCCTGCACTTCAGCAGCTGGTGGCAGAGTGGCGGCCTCCCAGCCTGTTTCTGCTCTCTGAGTCTGACAGCTTTCTGGGCCCGCTTGACTTCTCTCAAGAAGCCTTTGAGGGATTTAATGCCCTTCTGCTAGTGCAGCCACTTTGAGCAAAGCAGGTGTCCCAGGTGTTTGTGTTTCTGCTATAGGGGTCTCATGGCACCTGGTTCCACCCAGAATTCTCTAGGTTGGGCAGAGATGCCACATGTGGGTCTGCCTGTTCTGGGTTCAGGTATGTTATGATTTTTGTAAAGCTGATCATTTTCATTTTCCCAGTGAAATGGGAAAATGGACTACTCCTGATTCTTCTCTAATCTCTTTGTGCCTTTATTGTTTCCTTGCTGTCCTAGTGATTATGAAAAGCCCAGACAGCTTCTTTAGTAAATTCTACTTGACCAGCAGGCTCCATGTGTCTCTGGGCATTTTGAGAGTCAGTTCCTATTTCTTTCTTCCAATCTGTTGCTGTTCTATGGGACACGCTTCCTCTGGGCTACTTGAGCTCCCTCCAACGTTGGTGCCTCCTCCTCATTCCCCAAATCAGTTTAAGCAAGGGAGGTTTCTAACACTGTACATGTCTTCTCTGAGCAAGTTCCAAATCTATGGAACTCTTCATCCTCCTATCTGCTCTTTTTTTCTGTCCTGAGTTTGATGCTAGAGAAATCATGTGCGAAAGAGTAAAGCCCCATGTGCTTTGATTTTTAGTGCCATACTCTGGAGTCCTCTTTCCCTAATCCTTTGCCAGATAGCATGCACAGATGCAATCCATCAAAGACCACACAAATAGCAGAGAAATCTTGTTGGCAATTTAACAGCCTCTGGACATGATGTGTTTGTACATAGAGTGTGAAAAGCACTGCTGGAATCTTTATGGTTCTTATTAGCCTCTCACAGATTAGCCTCTAGGATCCTTAGGCATATTGAGTCCAGATGTACGTCCAGGGCCTGCTCTCCATAGACCAAGGCTCACTGACCTGCAAACACATTGAAACATCTGTGCTGATGTGGACAACTAGAAATTACTTAGAGCATGTTTTAACACCCACAGAACGTGGTCATCATATCCTGACAGTCACCTTCTCCTTCTGAAACCTTAGCTGATCGTCCCTTCTCCTAAGCTCATCATGTTAGGGATAAAGATGGAATAATTTGTACTTTTTCATCCTTCAGCGGCTAAACAACACAAGTAACAGGTGTCTGGTATCAGTGAAACTGACAACTCATCTCAGTTTAAATATTTCATGTCTAGAAATTTAAACATGAGTAATTCCCAAGGGTTTCTTACCTCTGGAAGCTTCGCAGGCTGTATAGTTGAAGAACTGCCATTTAATGGTCTTTCAAACTTTTAAATATAAGGACCTAATCATATAATGTGGTCACATTTCCTGACTAATACATGTTATAGCCTAAACTCTCATATATTTAGAATACAATTAAGTTTCAAAAAAAAAAGAAAAGAAATGAGAATAAGAATCTAATTTTCAAACAAAGTTTTACTAAAATTTTCTTTTTACATATTTTTTATAGGACAAATAATGGAATCTTTTCATTTATCCAAAAATCTACTTTGGGAAGCTGTGAGTGATTGGGACGCAAATAGATTTCAGCAATCGTCCCTCAACATGTTGCAAATAGTCAGGTTGAGAGCAGCCTGACACACTGAGATTGCTGACTGAGTATCAAGCATCATGTTGCTGAATGGAATGAACATGAGGAATGGTGTGTGCTCAGAGAGGGAGCAGATCATACTCGCCCTAGGGAGAATGGCAGTCTTTATGTGTAGATAGAATCCCTTAATCAAGTAAGCAGTTAATTTTCATATTTACTTATGGGTAGAATTTGATCTCCACTTTCAGAAATAGGAAGACTGCACTGAACCTGAGAGGATGCAAAGGGGGAGTAAAGACACAAACAAGGTCATCTGCCCTGGGGACTCTACTCCCATCCAAGTACCAACCAGCCCAGGTCCTGCTTAGCTTCTCCACCCCCATAAAGGGTGTGCCCAGGGTGGTTTGGCTGCTGACAGGGCACCTGTAGCAATCAGAATACATTTTTCCTCCTTTCTAGAATCTATTATCTGAAAATGGTGACCCAAGAATGGTACAATGGTGAAGTCAGCTGAGCTAGTTTAAACTCAGGATGGCTAGAAAAGTGGTTTAGTTTTGAAGCACAGGATGTCCACACTGCCCCTTCAATGTTGCTCTCCTTGTCACTGTATTTGGACCAGTGAGAGTTGCTGCTCCGTGTGTACATAGAAGCACTACTGGGTTACTCTACTGCAGAGCTGACTTTCTCTCCCTGGACTTCTCTTCTAATTTGAACCTCTCATTGTTCCTGGCTGTGCCTGAAAGTACTGCATGCTCAGGTAACGCGATCCAAAAATACCCTACAGCAAAGAGCCTTCTTGGGAGATTCTGTCCAAGATAATGGTGGAACTGTACAATTTAACATTTTAGCACTTTTAGGCCCACCCTCATGAATGTATCATGAGCTTCAAAGAGAAAAGTGCTCACTGGTATCTGTTTTACTGTCTGCTAAGTAGTGAATTTTATTATGTTAGGACTAAAATTTTTACCTTATAAGTTTGGCCAACCTTGCGATTGTGTACTGCACTCATTTACCTGATTTGGGTCTCCTGTATTGGTAGCAACTCAAAAGAAATTTAGTAATTCAAAAGGGGCCACTTTAATGTAGCCAAAGTATCATTGAAATGATAACAATTGAGAGTATTTTTACAAAGGTGGAGTCTCAAACAGTATTGCCCAAGAGAAATAAATTGTACATAAATGAATAATTTAAATTTTATTTGGAATTTTTTTTTAAATAAAACATACAGTTAAAGTCAATTTTGAGCTATAATTTATTCCTCTGGTAAATGCAAATCATCTACCTTTAAAAAGTAATGATATCAAATTTATAGCTAGGTTTTTCACATTCTTTAAGAAAAATCTCTGGATTTTATAACTTATTTTATGCTTCGGCTCAAATGCTCAATAATCACATGTATATACATATATAGCTATATATTGTATAGCACAAGTGTAGAATAATTTTTTCCTCAAATCTCACTTCATTCTCAAAACTATATTTCCACTTTTTAATAAAGAAGAAATTACCTGAAATGGCAGAAAGAACACTGAATTAAATCACTACATTTGGTTTGTGAAAGGATATTTTCGAAGATGAACAATATCTGAGCATGCAGTACGTTCAGGAATGGAGAGGATCAAAGAGAGGTTCAAAGCAGAAAATAAGAACATGGAGAGAAAATCAACTCTAAAGCAGAGTGACCAAATAGTGCTTCTATGTGACACACAACTCTAAGATTTTCAGTATAAAATTTAACTCAACAGAGTGTCTCCCTGAACTTCACATTTTAATCTGTAAGAAAACAAAGACTTCAAAAGATGTACAAATTAAATAAGACAGCTAAGTTTGAACACACTTTGTGCATTGCAAGGTCTGCATAAACATTCTTGCAGTTTTATAATTCTATTTTCGGGGCTGGATATTTCACAGATTAATTCACAGATTAGTTTCTAGGGCCTTAGCCAAGGTGAGTGGACAAGGCACACTGAGTCTGGATGGACGTCCAGGGCCTGCTCCCTCTAGACCAAGCCTCAGTGACCTGCAGACATGCGAATCTTTGTGCTCATGTGCACAGAGTTGATTAGAGCCTGAATATGGAATCATACCTCTGAAACTCACCTTTCCCTTCTGAAGACTTAGCAGAGTATCTCTTCTCCTAGCCTCATCACATTAGGGATAAAAATGGATTAATTATACTTGTCATCCCTCCGTATCTAGACAATCATACTACAAGAACCAGGATGTGTAAGTGACTTCTCTAATTATGCAAATATAAAGACAGTAGTTCCCAAGGGCTTCCTTCCTCCAGAGGTTTAGCAGCCTGCACAGTTGTAATAATTGTCACTTGCTGGCCTGTGAAACTTTTAATGTAAGGAAACCTAGCTATGTAATGAGGTCACACTTCCAAAGTCATGCAGTGGGTGTGACCTTAGAATATGTTTAGATTGCCACAATTAGGAGAATAAAGGAAAAAGAATATTTTTTCATGGACAGTATTTCAAGTTTTGTCATTTTATAAATATTCTATGTGTAAGTGAAACCATTCTCTATCATTTTTTGTGTGACTCACCAAAGTAGTGTTTTGGAGTTTTTCGATGGTTGCATAGGAGTAGAATTACTGAGTTGTTAGGCTGA